TGCAATATATACGTGTATTAAATTGCCAAAGAGTATTTTTTAAAGATTTACTAATTTTACATTTATAAGTGTTTTTCCTGCTTGTCTGTGTGTACACCGTGTGTGCTTGGATCTGGAGACATCAGAAGAGGGATTCTGTTGAATCCCTGGGAACTGGAGTGTCTGATGGTGGTGAACCACTACGTGGATGCTGGCAACCAAACCCAGGTCCTCTGCAAGAGCAACAAGTGTTCCTAACCATGGCGCTACCTATCCAAAGAACAAATTTAGTAACAAGTTATTTAAAAAAAAAAACCATGAAAGACTCAATTGCAGTTAAATGGACTTTGAAATACAATTTTCATTGCACTTGAATCAAAATAAACAAAGAAAGTAAAGAACTGTGGGAAAACATATCCATTGGGAATTTGTGGGGAATGGAGATTTCACTTTCTGCTTTTAATTTTTTAGGGGTGTCTGTGTGTGTGTGCGTGTGTGTGTGTGTGCGTGTGTGTGTGTGTGTGTGTGTGTGTGTGTGTGTGTGTGTGCACATGCCATGCCATCTGTGAAGGTAAGAGTGCAACTTTTAGGAGCTGTTCTTCCCTTCCACTTGTTGCTGAAGGGACTCCAAGCCCTTAAGCTTCTGAGTGATTCTTCTGCCTCTGTCCCATCTCCTTGTGGGAGTGCTGGGATTCCAGACGTGTGCCTTTGAGTCTAGCTTTTTGTTGTTGTTGTTGTTCTGTTGTTTTTTCGAGACAGGGTTTCTCTGTGTAGTTTTGGTGCCTGTCCTGGATCTCGCTCTGTAGACCAGGCTGGCCTTGAACTCACAGAGATCCACCTGGTTCTGCCTCCCAAGTGCTGGATTCCAGGGATTCAACTGGGGTCATTGGGTTTGCATACCTAATGCTTTTACCCGCTGAATCATTTCTGCCAGCCCTCTAAGTTGAATTTTAATAGCACCAAAAGTATAAAACTTGGTATGCTTCTGATTTAAATGTTAGTTTTTGCTGAAAATTTATCACAGGGAAGGTTTTGTTTTGCATTGTAATTTTAGGGCAAAATTGTTAAGGAAAGCTATTGAACTCACAACAAGAGCTGGTAGCCAAAGACACTTGGTGTCCCATGTGACTGAAAACAGTTGTCATTCAGAAAAATGTCTGTTAACCCTGGGTTTAAAAATTACAATAAAAAGCCTGGTGTGGTAATGCATACCTTTAATCCCCAGACTCAGGAGATAAGAGGCAGGGGGATCTCGTTGAGTTTGAGGCCAGCCTAGAGTACATAGTGAGTTCGAGGTTAGCTATGGTTACATAGTGAGGCCCTGTTTTGAAAAACAACAATAAACAATAAAAGTTAGCACTGAATTCAATGTGGTAAAAGTCAGAATTTTCTGCTTGTTTCAAACTTGGAAAAGTGAGGATAATTACAAGTTTAAGGCCTGGTCTCTAGGAGTTCAAGGTCAGTCAGGACTACTTAGCAAGTCTGGCCTGAGGAAACATGAAAATAGATTTTTCTGCTTGTTTCGAACCATAGAACTGGTGGGCAGGTCCATGAGAGTGAATGAAGTGAATGGCTGACACTGGCCGCTCCTTAACAGCAGAATTTCTGCCAAGTATCCATTGATGAATACTAAATTGAACACTTGCATGTTTTAAACACCTCATGTTCCACAAGGTTCACAACTTTAGTCAACTAAACCATTTTCTGCTTATCTTTATCATCATTTGTAGTACACCTAGCAGATTTACTTTACATTATACTGACAATGGTTTTGAACATCTTTCGATTTTTTTTTTTTCCGAGACAGGGTTTCTCTGTGTAGTTTTGGTGCCTGTCCTGGATCTCCCCCTCGAACTCCCAGAGATCTGCCTGCCTCTGCCTCCCGAGTGCTGGGATTAAAGGCATGTGCCACCACTGCCTGGCGCATCTTTCAATTTTTAATTCTTTAATTCAGTCCAAACTCAGTATTGATTTCTCAAAAATTAAGGCCAACTATCAGTAACATCTGACTGATTAAATGCCAAAGAAAAGCATTCAAGATCATTTGATGTTGTTTCTAATGTCTTCCTCAGTCCTCAAGCAACTGTTAACCAAAGGTCTGGTGTTTCTCTGGACACTTGCTTTTGAAACACTCAAACATGACTTAACTGATCATGGTAAATGACTTCCTTTGGCTAACAAACTGGCCATTTGTAAAGATTCTTTGGTTGCAGGTTATTTTCATGAAATTATGTTGTGATGAGTGTTCTGGTGGGAGCTCCACCTCAGCCCCTGGCACCCTGGCATCCATATACCCAAAGAGTTTGGAATGTTCTGGTGGAAGGTTCACCTCAACTCCCCTCCCCCATCTCTCTCCCCAAACCCGTCCCCTCAAAGCCCACCAAACAAGGCTCCTGCCCCAGAGATGCTCAAGACCACTGCCATAGGGTATTTAAACTGCATCCCAGAAAATAGGTTTTTTGGTCTCTTGTCCCTATCTCCTCTCTGGGGGTGGTGGAGAATCACCTGGGAACACTTTACCCATTAAATGGGGGCTTTTTCTAATTTGGTCTGATTTGGATTGCTGCATCAGTGGAGAGGCCTATCGGAGTGCAAAAACTTTTCACTGAGATAATCCATCTTAAAGTTTTTAATTCTTCTATTGTTTTCTCCTAAGTGGGGGACACTGTCAAGAGTTTATCCTGGAAATGTCAACATACTGCATTTGCCAAATTAGCATCCTAGCATTATAATGAAAATGAATGCCAGAAACCTGATAGAGATAGCACTCTCCCTGACTTCTGGCTACCTGGTGTCAACTCAGGAGAAAGGCTTTCACAGAGTTCTGAGGTACCCTGCTGGAAAAAGATCACCTTAGGAAGCATTTGCTAAGGTTCAGTTATCTGAGCTCTCACAAGGTCCTGAGAGTATGGGCGAAGTGGGCCCAGTAATTGCTTGACCCTGCCAACATGGAGAGATGGACACTACTGAAGATCAGCAGCTAACAGCGCTGGCTGCTCTTCTGGAGGACCTGGGTCCCATTAACAGTCCCATAGGATGTCTCACACCTATCTATAACAACTCCAGTCCCAGGGGACCCTGTACAGCCTCTTCTGGTTTCTACAGGCATCAAATCAAGCCCATAAGTGATGCATATACATACATACAGATAAAACACATAAAAAAAAAAAACCAAGCAAATACTTTGCAACAGGATAATAGTGAAGATGCCTTGAGAGTATATCAAGATTACACTTAAAGAAGAAAATGTAAAGTCCTTTCCCCAAAGCTATGTTTTAATGAACCTGAAAGCACGTGTAAAGTGCACGTTTCCTGTTTTGATATAATGGGCAGGTACTAGGAAAATAAAATATGGTGTAGGATGGCAGTACACGTGGCACTACAAAGGCAGCAACTCAACTTTCCTGTCAAGGGAAACAAGCACAGCCATGAACAATCCATGAATGATTAATGCAGCTGAATTTCAATAAACCTTTCACTTACGGGCTGGAGTGGTGATGGCTCAGTGGTTAAGAGCACTGGTTGCTTTTCCAGAAGATGTGGGTTTTATTTCCGGCACAGTGTCTCATAACCACATGTAACCCCAGTTTCAGGGGATCCAATGACCTCTTCTGACCTCTCCCAGCACCAGGCATGCACCTGGTGCACATGCATATATTCAGTTAAAACATTCACACACATAATAAAATAAACCAAAACCCTTCACTTATGGACAATGGAATTTGAATTTCATATCTTTTCCAAGTCAGGACATGTTCTGCTGTCCAACCATTTAAAACTAAAAACCATTCCTTGTCTGTGGGACACACAGCAGACTGGCTTATAGACCAGCTTAACCTTTCTTCTGTAAGGACTTCTGAATCCAGATGAATGGATCAGCCAAATGTATCCAAAGCTAAGTTTTAGTAAGGTTTTAAGTCCTGAACAGAAGTTGTTACTACTTTCAGGGAAAGATCTAAATTGATACAAATCAAGAAAGGCAGCAGCCGTGCCTTAAAACAGGCATACTAGCAGTCCAGTTTTCTGAGAGGAAGATCAAAAGGAAACCAAATAGAACACTCTTCATTTTGAGTTTTAAAAATAAGTAACAGTTAGGTTGTACTAAATATTATTAGTTTGCATGTCATATAAAAGCCAGACAGAAGATCTCCTTCTATCCTTTCTGGAGGTTCGAGGGGATGGAAGCCAAGGTTTACTGTTCTTCCCGAACTCACGATCCTCCCACTATCTCCCAGATGCCAGGGGTTGCTAATATTCCTTCCTGGGGAGACACAGCATCTACCCCTCCTCCTAGGGTCCCAAGGACAAAGCAAGGCATGACTTCTGCCTACGTTCATTCTGAGGAAACCATGAGTTTATAGAATTTCCTTACAGAGCACAGGTGAGCATTACTTACAGTGGGATGGGTACTCTTCCATGCAGCTGTTGTAACTAGATAGCCTTTCCCAAGCGGGGACGAGGGCCTCTCCTTAGCTACATACATTAAGTTCCCCCTAATCTTCCAGGTCCATGTTCTCTAACTTCTCCCTGAACATGCACAATTAACTGTGGAGTGGCAGGATACTCAGGTGAGAGTATTGTGACACTCGCCACCCTTCCAAGATAGGGTATAATCAAAAAGCCCAGTTGGGAAAATCCTTTTGCAAGGAGGTGCAGCTAAACTCCCCAAGAGAGTGGCTACCTGACTCAGAGGGCAGTCACTCCAAACAGAAGGGTCACAGATGTGAATCAGGACACCAGAAATTCTTACTCGCTTCAGTACTTAGAAAGGGCAAGAAAAAGACAACACGGTCGATGCAAACGGTTCAAAACGCCTTGCTTTATAGAACAAATCCCATGCTGGAGGATTAGCATATGGACCAGTTTGCCTTCCTGGAACTTTGAACATCAATAAAAACCAAACCCAAACACCTACAGCTAGAGAAGCATGGCCACTAAGTTCTATTGCCTAAGAAAATGGCTCAAGAATTAAACACTCCTAAGTAAGTGCTTCAAAAACAAAATCACCAGTCACCAATACGTAAGAAACCATTTCTGAAGCCTTTATTTACAAAAGCTTTAAAAACAAATAATACCCTTTGTTTGCAAATAATGTTTAGTTTAAAAAGGACCGCCCAGTTCCAGCATTTTAGTATCATGAATATCGAATGTACAAGGGAAATGAACTATGTTGCTAACATTTGGAAACTTGCTGATATTACTGACTGAAGTGTAGCTAACACACATTACAACTTGTAGTCCATCACTTCAGGGTTGAGTTAATGATCACCAAAATCTTCCAACACATGCTCTGGTCTGGTCACATATTCTGCATGGCTAAATATTTCATAGTCTCTTGTCAATATATATAAAATAGATTGCAAAGATATACACAAAAAATAAACAAGCATTACACTCCTCAGGTAATTTATTAGCTATATATATGTGTGTGTATTTATACATATTTTGCATTTTGTTGTTTTGCACCAAATCTCTCCATTATTTATTTTTGTAGCATCTATGAAATCACATTTTTTTGCTTTTTTAATTTGATATAAAATGTACCTAAAGACTTATCTTTGGACTTTAATGAAATTGATTTGTGTAGTCAACAAATCAAGAACATCATAAATACACTTATAAAATAAAACAGTAGGGGTAAAAGTGATGGCGTAAAAGGAAGCCAACCAAGGGAGGCGTTGCTGTCATAAAATACAACTGGAGCTCCACCATCTTGAACTTTCTGGCAGATAGTAAACGTCCAATCACAGGGCTTCTTCCTGAAGGGTGTAAAGCTGATCTCCAAGTCTTCAGTCACAGAGCAGCCTATGCATGCCAATTAGAAACCAACAGACCCGAGATGTGCTTGGAAGGTTAAACACTACACACAGAAACAGTAGTTACTAGGCTCTTCAGTAGTTCCTTGTCTTTTTCTCTTAGTCCTGCTGAATCAACAATTTGTACAATGCATGTGCTGTACTCTGAATGTCAAAAACAAGCAAATACTGTAAAAAGGCGGCCGATGGTCATTTTTCCAGCTAAGAGCAAGAAAAACCACAATTTCTGATAAAATAGAGGATTGGAATCACTCTCTAAAGTGCAAACTTGATGGTCCACATCTTAAATACCTATAAGTACTGCAGAATAGAGGGAGAGGCATGAAACAGGGAAATAAATTACAGTCAATGCTAGTTAATTTAGGAAAAGGGAAACAAAACCAAGATCAAGTAGGCAAAGTTTATCAAATTATTCAGTAATGTAGCTTTGTCACACAAGCTTGATAAGAAGTGTATTAAATTAAGGCCAGATTTAACCTGAATGTACTTTTATTTATTAAGATCACAGCTAAGAAAGGCCATACTTAGTACTGAAAGCAGAAAATAAGGGCTACAAAAGGAGGGGAGGTATTGTCTATCATTTAAGGGTTTCAACCAGAGATAAAACCTATGTACAAGCATGTGTGTAATTCGTATAAAAGAAAATAAAAAGACTATTGGATGTCATGACTGCTTGTTGGCTTCCTCTTCATATGCATTCCCTGTGCCATTCTGTACATAGGATGAACCAGAACCAAGGCCATATAAATGACCACAGTATTTGGCATCATCAATATGATCTTCAAAGAACATCTAAAAAGGAATTTTGAAAGAAAAAGATCATTTTAACCAAAAGATACCACTTGTAATTCATACCTCACACTGTAAACGCTATTCTCAAAGTTCCTTTGAGAACATATACTGTCCATTTAACAAATAAGACTGATGCCTCTGACCACAAGCCTAATGGACACTTTTTAAAAAGCATAAATCTGTCTTTCTCATTAACATTTATACCATTTTAAAGAGAATTTATGAGCATGGAAACATGGGAACAGACATTTTTATTTCATTAATACAGCCAACTCAACAGACTGAGAGAAATAATAGCAGAAGGGGAGAAGAGGGTATACCATTTTAAGTTGTCTTTTGTCTATGTGCAAGGTTGAATTAACTAAAACTAAACAAATCCTCAACATGTTATAGGCAGTAAACACCTGAATATTCTCACTACATTACTGTCCTTGAAGAAGCCAAGGAAAATAAAGATAAGCTGGCACCGGAAACCCACCATTAACTAACCGTTAAGCATTTTAAAAATGAAAATCCAAAAGGTGGTTGTATTGAAACTAAACAAAATATTTACTTCTCATGAGTGGACAATCCAAATAACTTCTGAATCAATACTACCTGGCAAAACAGATCAAATGTGTTCTATCGTTAGCATGCTTCTACCAAAAGAACATAGTCAAAATAATTCCACTGCAAATACTTTGCAAAAATAAAAATGTCTTTTTGCAGGCAAAAAAAAAAAAAAAAAAAATTCACCCTATTATGGTTTGGTAAAATTAAAAAAAAAAATTTATTATTACCATCAATGAGGTAACCACACCACCCATCATCTAATTATCTAACATAAAAACAGACTGTTTTGCTAAACACCGTCCTTCCATTCCTAACAATTTTATATTCAAGTACTTAATGGGGGGTGGGGGGGTGGGGTGGAGAAGATTCCTGATACAGCTTTTCTTTTTTTGAGATAGGGTTTCTCTGTTTAACAGAACTGGCTGTCTGAGAACTTGCTCTGTAGATCAGGCTAGCCTCAAAACTCGCAGAGATCTGCCTGCCTCTGCCTATCAAGTGCTTGGATAAAGGCACGTGTCACCACTGCCCAGCCTGAAACAGTTTTTAATTCAACTATATATCAGATTTCAGATTTATTTAACCCCTTATAATTGAAAACCCCGTTAAAGAACTCTAAGTTCTACTTTATAAACTCTTCAAAGCAATTAAGAAAGACATGAGCAAATACATTTTCACCACCAATTTCAAGTAAGAGAAGGGCCAACTAAGGAAACCGTCACAAATGCCTGACTCAGAAGGGACACTTACAGGGACTAAGAAAGTCCTCTAGAACTCACTCACTAGTGATCTTTGAGCATAAACAGTCACTAGCCTCTGGTCTGTTTGTTCCCCTGAGAAATAGGATGTTCACATGTACATAGTTTCTACAGTCAAATCATTTTATAGTCTATAAATAACATCTTTCGTGTACAATAAATGGAATGTTTTTTATTCTATAAAGAATTTTTTCTTTTATTCCTTTTTGAATTACATTTCAGGAGGACTTATTTAACACTTTCACTCGTGTGGTGAATGTAACTTATATAGTACCTCTATTTATATCTTCACTTAGTAGGTTCTTAATGCCCCAAACTTTTGTCATCAGATTTTTAATGTTCTCTATCTAACAAGCAAGAAAAAGGCACTGATGTCTTCATACTTCTCTCATTTTGAAAAAGGCCATTCCTGTAAGCAATGAATCAGATCCTGCTTGGTGCTGAGGTCCTATCCGTTCCAGCTCTAACTGTTCAGCAACTTCCTGTAATCCTCCCTAGAAGGAAGAAAAGTTGCTTGTCAAATAGAGAAAAGACTTTGGTACCTGATTTAGATACTAAGAAAAATATGAATTAAATTTTTCATATGTAAAGACTAACCTTGTAAAGATGGCAAGGGGGTTGATACAATAAAAATAATATATTTGTGGAATTTAAAAGCCTTTTTATCAGAAAATGAAAATTCTAATAGGAAATTTTATCTTAATTATGTATTTTAAGGCACATGACAGACAAACTATTCCCTAAAGATATGGAGAATGTAGTTCATATTCAGAGTAAAAGTAATCAACCATACTCAGTGTATTGAGCCATCAATCATTAAAAAATTCAGTAACAAGTATAGACAGTTTCTTTGAAATTATCTACCTATCCACTAAATTTTTTAAAACTAAATAAAGCAAAGACATCACAATCATTCAGATCATTGTCAATATACCACATAACTTTATTTATTTTTTTGTCACCCAAGAAGAGAACTTTACAAATATAAAACTTTTTAGAATGGTTTCCTATGACTGCTTACAGTAATATAATATAATATAATATAGCTAGGACAGAGAAAACAAAACAAAACAAAAGAATGTGAACGGAAAAACGAGAGACAAAATAAAAGATAGGCAGAAACAGAATCTACCTATGAATCCTCCTTCAATGCTAAAGCCTTTACTAACAAACCAGACCTTCCCATCCTAGCTTTCCATAGGACTTTGTATAGCAACTGCTTCTGTGCTAAAAATATCATGTGTATTAAGTGTCCTGAGCAGCTGCTTGTAACAGAGGAGTAGAACAGAAATGAGTGAACAGTACCTTCTCACTGACTGAACTTTTTAATATAAGCAGCTCACACGGCACACAATAAAATATTTGGTATTTTCTGACACTTCTGAATAAAGATGAGTAAAAATTTAGTACTCTATTTCTGAAAATTATTGTGCCAAGCTGTCAACTTAAAAAAAAAAAAAAAAATTCCCGAGCCATATCAAAGCATGGAAGCCTTAGACTCTCAACACGCCACATGTTTGTATAAGTAGTCAGGATATTCTGCTGGAAGTTAACTTAGGAGAAGACGCCTTGAATTATACAGAATACAGTCATGAAACTATCTTTTTAAAAACTCCCTAGTTATACGGCGCCATACTGACATCAGAGGCAAATAACCTGTGTTAGTCCTACAATTCTCAGTCCATTTGTTGAAATCAAAGCCTCCACATTCAATTCCTCTATTCCTGCTAAAGAAAAACTCTTAGAAGTCCTTACTATCCCCTCAAAGCACAACTCTGTACTTTTCTGAAGCCTAGTTAGAAAACTTGACCAATCTAGGTTTTCCTGAAGAAAGGGGCAATACCGACTATAAAACAACCACAGTATCTAAATTTGTTTTTGTGTCCTCAGTTATAACTTAAATTCACACCAAAACCCAGCTACTAAAACCCCACACACTGTACTGCCAGGGATATGTGCCAACTCAGTGAATTTGCTCTTAAGCCGAAGAAGTACTTTTCTTTAACCAGGAAATGTTTGTTTTGATAAAATTAATGTTCAAAGGTTAAAAATAAATGGTTATACATGTTCAGTAGTATCAGACTAAGCTAAGCCTAAGGTAGAGCCTACACATTTATTATAGCACTTACACCTAACCAGTTCAGCTATGTAATTAAATCATAAAACGATCACATTTCAACAAGAAAGAATCAAGAAAACGTTGGTCATCAGGACAGTCTTAAGGAAAAACTCATTCACACACTACTGGATGTCTCTGCCTGCTGCTGGCCAACCCCAACCTGCGTCTCTATGACAGTTCTGTGTGCTGGGATCATGAGCACCCCTGTAACGGGACCACTACTCCTCACACTTTTCTTTCAGTTCATGATTCTCTCTCTATCTGGCAGCAGTAACAAAAATCTGACCCTTAGCTTGACCTTTGTTAAAAATTTATTCTGGGGGCTGGAGTTGGTTCAGTAGCTAAGAGCGCTTAACTACTGTTGTGGAAGATCCAGGTTCAGTTCCCAGCACCCGCTGGGTGACTCGCAATTGCTCATAACTCCAGTTCCAGAGGGTCTGATACCCTCTTCTAGTCACTGCCAGTTCTAGCTATACAGGTACACAGGAACAGACACACATATAAATCCTAAAAATAAATAAAGAAATAAATACAGCAACCTTATTCTGGGCTGGAAAGATGGCTCAGCAGTTAAGAGCCTTTGCTATTCTTACAGAGGACCTGGGTTCAATTCCCAGCACTCACATGGTGGTTCACAACCTCCATAACTACAATTCTAAGGGATTAAATGCCCTCTTCTGACCTCCTTGGGCAGCAGGCACACATTTGGTATGTAGATACACATGCAGGCAAAAATACTCATATACATAAAATAATTTTAAAACAAAACAAAACAAAACCAATCAAACAAAACATAAACCTAAAAACACCACCTCATCCTGCCAACATAAATACTGCAGTTTTGAAAAGGGATTATCTATACATTATTATTTCTGTTAAGAACAGGATCACATAATTTAACAGCATTTAACATAACTTTGAAAATATGGCTTAAACATTCAGGCCTAAGACATTATGTAAGTTACTTGGGCTAACTCAGTGGTTCTCAACCTTCCTAATGCTATGACCCTTTAACGCAACTGTATTAAACTCCTCGTGCTGTGGTGACCCCCAACCATAATATTATTTTCAATGCAACTTCATAACTGTAACTTTGCTACTGTTATGAACTGTAAGGTAAATATCTGTGTTTTCTGATGGTCTTCGGTGACTCCTGTGAAAGGGATCTCAACTCACAAGTTGAGAACCACTGGTTTAACCAATGTGTTGTTCCAGATAAAGTCATCTGAAGCCTTACTTTGAGATTTTTGCAGCTCTTCATGAGGTACTTCACATCATAAATGACAGGAAAAAATAATCGAAGGATCTCAAAGAAATCAAGTTCTTCTTCAGGCAAGTTAGAGTTGGTCAGGATTTTGATTAAATAGCCAAAGTCATAACCACTAATAAAAAGATTAAAATAATACAAAAAAAAAGCCCATCAATAACACTGAAAGAAATTAGTTTTTCAGATACAAAGTTTAACAAATCATGCTATAGACAAAAGGAATAAAAAAAAATGTGCACACAGGAACAAAGAAAGGAAACATATTCCTAACTGCAATGCAGAAATGCTGTGAGGTTATGGCCCAGTGATTGCTCTGAGTCCTAAGCATACGAGACTATTAATTCAACTCTATCATCTAAACTAACATTTTTCTGATACTTAAGAAAATTCTGGGCTAGGGAGATGCTGTTCAAACATGAGTATTTGAGTTTGATCCCCAGCACCCAAGTAAAACCTGAGAGTTATGTCAACCCCACAAAGAATACACCCATGCACCTACACACATAAAATAAAAAAATTCTAAAAAAAAAAATTAAACTATAATGAACATTAAGAATGATGAATGGGCCGGGCGGTGGTGGCGCACGCCTTTAATCCCAGCACTCGGGAGGCAGAGCCAGGCGGATCTCTGTGAGTTCGAGGCCAGCCTGGACTACCAAGTGAGTTCCAGGAAAGGCGCAAAGCTACACAGAGAAACCCTGTCTCGAAAAACCAAAAAAAAAAAGAATGATGAATGGGAAGGAGAACAAAAAAAATGTTAGAAGCTAGCAAGACATGACATTTCAAAGGCAAAATCATGTAAAAGTTTGTCACGATTTACAGGAAATGTCAATGCCTCCCGATTCTAAAGAAGTCCCTAACAGAGTATTTCCCTTTCACCTAAGTGACTTTATTAGTATGTACGTTCCTCAAATGCTGTTTTTACCTCAGTACAATTCTCCAAGAGATATTATCAATAGAAAAGTTAAGCATGAACAAAGAAAAAGTGAGAACGGGCTTTTCCCTACATGATACACTCAAGCTCCTGCTGTCTCAAATGGAGAGCACACATGCTCATCACTTTCCGCAGCTGCCCAACTCCCTCCCCTGAACTCCTCAGACACTACTTCCTATTGAGGGCCTGCAAGAGCAGCCTTCGCTAGGTGCCCAATTCCCAGAGATCTCTTCATAGCACAAATGCTTGCTGGGACTAGCCTTTAGGAACATGGACTTTCTCCACTGCTTAAAGGACAGGAATCACAGTTCTATCTTTCCCTTACATATAAATCAAACTCATATTTGGCAAATGACCTCTCTTTTGGAGATACAAAATAAAACTTTTATTTGATATTCATTATTTTACTTTTAATTTGAAAGGGGACTTGTTTTACTACAGATCTTTAGCATAAGCACCCAAGAGCAGAAAGCTTACATTTATTAGTTTGCAAAGAAGTGACCTTTCCAGTTACCTTAAATACAGTACTATGGCTTTTGCTTACTTCTAGTAAATACTATAGTTTAGAATTTATATATACATGTGAGTATTTATGTGTGTAATTTACTTATTCATTTTTTTGGACCAGGTTTCACTACTAACTCTGGCTGGGCTGAAGTTTAGTTACTATGTCTCCATAGTATAGTATAGTATGTCTCCATAGTAACTAGGATAGCCTGAACTCAAGACATCTACCTGCCTCGGCCTCCCAAGTACTGGGATTAAAGGTACCATAACTAGCAGGATTTATAATTTTAAAAAAATTAATAGAAATAGACTAAAACATGAAAAAAAATTTTTCATGGAATAATCTTATAAATATACCACATTAGCCGGGCGGTGGTGGCGCACGCCTTTAATCCCAGCACTCGGGAGGCAGAGGCAGGCGGATCTCTGTGAGTTCGAGGCCAGCCTGGTCTCCAAAGCGAGTTCCAGGAAAGGTGCAAAGCTACACAGAGAAACCCTGTCTCGAAAAACCAAAAAAAAAAATTAAAAAATAAATAAATAAATAAATAAATATACCACATGCTAATCTAGACTGAAGAGTTGATGAAAACATGAACCCTGCTTGGTTTTGCCCATCTTGCTATCCCCAGTGCTGAGTCAATAGTACTTATTCAAAATATTTTTTGAGTCAATGATGTGTTATACAAACTAAAAGAACTAGTTACTTTGTATCTTTACAAGTGGGAACATAGAGAAAAGCTGGTATCTGAGAATTCTTATTTTCAGTACTTACAACTTAAAACTCACTATATAATACCACATCAAAGTCTACTTCAGGAATTACCCACCACGAGAATCATTCCATGTGGAAGATTCTTATTGAAAAAAAAAAAAAAAGTGTGAAGGCTATCAAGATTAGTGTAGCTCTGACTGGCCCAGAACTTATTATATAGACCAGGCTGGCCTTTAACTCAAAAAATCCTCCTGCCTCTGCCTCCTGAATGCTGGAGTTAAAGACGTGTGTCACTATGCCTAGCAACACAGTACATTTTAAAAACCTAAGACTACAGACAGAAACCCTGTTATGAGATAGACAAATTAATTTAAAAAAAAAACAACCAAAACTATAACAAAGGTCACTTTTTTTCCCAGAACTGCTAAATCAGTTAATTTACAAAGGAAAACATTTTCTCACACCTGCAAGTAAATGAACTTTTATAAAAGTGAAATAACTTCCCTGTAACTATCCAGTTTTATTTTTATAATAATAAAGAATTAAACATCATCACGTTCTGAGTATATAAAATACTAGATGCTTTAAATAGGTTGTAACTGACATATATATAAATGGTTAAGACCCATGAGCGGCACAAATCCCCAATGGTTTGCCAGGTATTAGTGAAGGTTTGTCTAGCTTATGTTCTTTCCACTAAGCAACATTATCTCTCACAGGCTACAACAAATTCCTTGTTAAGAGGTAAAGTGGACAACATTTTTCTCAAGTGAGGTAGAAGACTACCTCTCATGGTAGTTAATTCTTTCTAGAACCAAGCATAGAGCTGATATGCGACCCAAGTAAGTGTAAGGCAGAGATAGGATGCAAGCATGCTGCAATCTTTTTATTTATTTTTACCTATGAAATGATAACCATTTGACCCCTTCACAAAGAACCACTCCTGAAGTCATAAGAAGTTCTGCAAAGTATTGGGTCTCAATTCCTTCCTCCTCGTGTTTTTTAAACTGGATACCAGATGTTGTTAGTAGCTCTATAGAGTCCTGAGCATACATGTCCTCCCTGCCAGGAGAAAGAGAAAAATAATGTTCAAGACCACCATCACTTTAAACAGCTGTTCTCCCACTCACACCTACAACTACAGTGCAGAAACAAGACGGGATTGGTTTGTCTTATGTGCAACCATCCGAGTGCTTCACAACTCTCAAGAAAAACAAAACTTAAAATATCCAAAAAGTAAATGATCATTCATAATAGTCCAATGGTGAGTTTTTAACCCTTACCATCAACTCAATTTCATTAGCTTCTACACATTCTATAAACTTCACTGGGCTTAAAAAGGGTCTTTTACTCACCAGAGGCTACCACAGACATGCTCTGTTCAGGAGCTCTCAGTCTCCGCAGCTATTTAGTGCTGCCAGATGGAGCTGTAGCCACAGCTATGAGGGGCTATGCACACCTCTCACGCTCTCAGTAGAACCAGGAAGGAGACACCAAGTGGCAAACATCTCTTGTGGCTGAGTTAAACTACATTCCATCTTAAAGAAAAGGCGATGCCTCCTCTCACCAATGAGGAGCCTTTCAGTGGCTCCAGTAAGCAGGGAACTGTTCAGAATTAAGGACTCAGTTACGACAGCAGTCTCTTCCTCCAGCAACCACATACCTACATTAGAGGCAAACATAATCCTAGAAGACTACCTTCTAAAACCAAGCCAAGAAACCTAACTATAAGCCAGCCCTTCAAAATTTTACTGAAGCCAGAACAAAGGCACTTCTAATTCCCAAGCACAAGTATGTTAAATATCCAAAATATTATAATAAAAGTTGAGGATTTATGAAAAAGTATTTTGTGGATTTACCATTAACTTATATTTACTTTTTTAACTTAATACTGGTTTCTACCATTAGCAAAAGAAAATTTCTAAAGACTTTAATAAAACTAACAATACCAAAACAAATGTTTGACTTTGACCAAAAGTATTTTTGTAGTTTACTCTCTGGAAATCAATTTCTAACACAATGTCAAAGGTCACTTTTAGTTCCCAGACTGTCAGGAGGTAATTAACAAAGCTAAGAACTGAAACATTTAAAAACAGAGAGGAGCCACAATCATCACATTACATCATCATTTCTCTTGGAAAATTCTTTAGGAAAGATAAAATAAATTCAACGCAGTTTTTTTGGTTTTTTTGTTTTCCCCCAGTTATACTAAAACTAGGTCCCTTACATGAGAATTTTACCACCAGGTCCTTGGGCTCACACTGAAGTATGTTTGAACAAGTGTAACCAACCAAGAATACAGCAGACTGTTCTCCAGGCTCACATTGCTCTTAGCCACATGCTCAACTTATTATGTTCAACATCACATAACCATGACCAAACTAAATAATATATCAATGAGGTAGGACAGTGAGTTTTGTGATATTTAAGTCATCATTACCCACACTTGCCCAATGATAATAATCACCAGGGGAACTTACCAAAAATATGGATTCCCAGGTCCCATTGCAGTCCCAGACCTATTGAATCACAGTTCCCAGGTGAGAGACCTGGAGGAGTACCTCGGGTATTTTATAATAAAGTAAGATTGGCAAACAAAGACATATGCAAAGTCCCTTTCTCTCTTCTGCAGAGTTCACATAGCTTGCTCTAAGCATTGTAGAAATGAGACTTTAATATAAGTTTTGTACAGATCCATGCTTTATAATACCCAGCTCTTAACTATATGGGTAAGGGAAATCTCTAGGCAGGAAGATGGAAAATTTCTATAGTAAGGTAAGTGTAAGAGCAATTATGAGTCACATTTCCAAATCAATGCATTGTCCTTTTCTGATGATACCAAGTTTGAAAAGGTCTGCATTCTTCCTCCTTTATCCTTAAATACTCTAGCAATAAAGGGGAAAAATACTAAAACTAACCTTAAAAAGTAACTATAACATTGTTTAGTCAAAATGTAAGAATTTCTGCTGGTGTTGGCTACTGCCTATTAGATCCATTGTTCAGAATTATGAATGGTATTAAAGATTAATCAACTCCTGATGTTTAAGATAGCAAAATATCTAGTTATGGCTAACATGAGTAAAAACCATGTAAAAATTTCTAAAGACTTCCCCAAAGGTAGAGGTATACAGCTATCTTCAGTTAACATCCTAAAGATCCACTATCTCCTAACTCACACTATGTAAAAGTACCAAATTTACTACTTTTATAATATGAACAAATCCTATTATAAAAACTCACACTTCTAAATCTAAATATGTGTTCTCTTTAACACTGAGTTAATGAGAAGTAGTTCTGGATTACCTCCCACATGCCTACCACAGAGGTGATAAAGTATCTTGTTTAAATGTCATTTACTGCCATATACACACTTTCCTTTATAAGTCAAATTTGCTTTCATAAAAATATAAACTCCAATATACTACAATTTATGCTACAATCATAGTTAAAATATAAATAAGCTGGAACAGTTACAAGATGGTTAGCTATCTTTAGTTTTTAATAAACTCAAAGAAATTAATAACACAAAAATATCCCTAAAACCATAAAGGCTATGAATGACAAGAAGACAAATAAAAAGAAAATATTCTCGCAAGTAAAATTAGCAAGCTATTAAAAAATACGATATTTACTATTTTGATGGATGAAACAGGGTAGGACTTAACAACCTGTAAGTAACTACAACTTCCAGAAAGCAGTAGCAAGCCCACCTGCCTGTTTCTCAATATGTACATATGTGCCTAATTAAAACTTACTTAAAATACCTTAAATATTCATTCTGTGAATGGATAAATGAAGCTTAACACTGTTTTTACCTTTGGATTTAGATCTTTCCTTCCAATAAAACAATCACGAAGTTTTCTAAAGATATACAGCTATTCCATGATTGATGTTATGTTCTGATAAACTCATTAGGACTTAGAAAAACACAGTAACGAAAGGTGGAAATACTATTAAACTACCCAAGAAACCAAGCATCAAACCAAACTTGGCAGCAGAGTACAAAGCAAAATACCATTGTTTATATACAAGAAAGTGGCTCACTTGGAAATTGTGCTTGCTATTGTTACTCAACACTTTACAAGAGTATACATTGCTGCCTAAGAAAAAAGTCAAAATTCTAAATTTAACATCTCATCTACTGAATACATCCTACTTTTGTACCATTATAAAGTCAAAAAGGTGTAAGTTAAGCCATCTTAAGTCAGGAGCCATAGGAGTGTCTCACTAAAGAAGAACCTAAAACATATACCCTAATCACTCAACCATAGCAAACAGATATACTACAGTACATTAAGAAAAAGGTCAAGTAAATGATTACTTAGAACTATGAATAGCAGTATCACACAGAAATGAGATGTCCTTAATATATACCGACTATAGTAAAATAGTTACAAAACAATTAGAAGGAAGTATTGGAAATAATAGTTGTTGCTAATAGTTGTTTCAATGTTTCAATACTACCCTGTTTCAAAAAGCATGTTATTTTTGTAAACAAAAAGACCAAAAAAAAGTCAGTAAATGTGCTTTATAAATCACAGACTTATTTTGTTAGTCATGTTTGCTTTCTTTATGTCTAAAGTGCATACACTTTAAAGTTAACAGCCAGTCCTTAAAAAAAAAAGCCAGATGGTGGTGGCACATGCCTTTAATCCTAGCACCTAGAGGGAGAGACAGGTGGATCTCTAATTTTTGAGGCTAGCCTGGTATACAGAGTGAATTTCAGGACAGCCAAGGTTACACAAAGAAATCCTGTCTTAAAAACAAACAAAACAAAGCAACCCCCCACACAGCCAGTCCTCATGTTGGTAAATCCACACAGGGCAAATGTGTTTACCTCACCAACCACCTTTCATACCCAAAGAGATAATGGTAAGGTGAGAAAATCCCACTGAAGCAAAACCAACAGTTTTTAGGCTACAATGGCACTGGTGGCCACAGCCCCAGCTCACTCCATAGCACTGAAGCTAAGCTCTCATTTAGGACACTAGAGCAGTCACTGTGCTCCTTAACTAAAGCTGTAACTCTCTATACTGTTAGAAAATCATCAAGGATTGTAAAGAGGAAGCAAACCATCGTAGCTTTACAACAAACATTAGTAAAGATAAGTTTGCTTCCAATCCCACACCACAGTAAGTATAGTAATTACGATGATAAAAATCTCAAGATGCCTAGAGAAAACCATTTTTACATGGAGAACATTATCTGTTCCTAAATGTTTGTCACATAATACTGATCTAGATACTACAAATCAAAGATTCAGAGAATGTAAATAGTTATAACTAAAACTTGAAATGAGTGCAGGTATTTCTTACATGTATGCTACTCTGAAGTATCTATTCAAATCTACTCAAAGTATCTATTAATACGACACACACTGTAACCATAAATATCTTTCCATATCCTAAATTTTATATCTACACCTGATAAATAATGATTTGCATTTACTCCCTTGATGCTAATGTAAAACCTGAAAGAACACTGGCAAACCTAGAAGCACCCTGACTTGGACCAAAGCAAATTTAAACATAAAAGCATTCACAAGCACAGACAACAGACAGGAGAGATGGGAAGTCCTCATTGTACTGTAGAGCATCGCACACTGACACATTCCTTCTAGACATTCAACAAGGTCAATTTCACCATTCTTCAACATGTCCAAGATGCTATCATGACCTTTTCCACATTAGGCAGTACTACTTTTATCTTCTCAATGGCTTTTGTTCTGCTTAACATTTTTCACTTAGTCTTCTTAATTTTTAAACTCCATTTTTTCATTTATTTATTTTGTGTGTGTGTGCCTACACATGTCCATCATGGACACACGTGAAGCTTAGAGCATAACTTAAGTCAGTCTGTTCTTGCCTACTATGTTCTGAGCATCATACTGAGGTCATCAAGCATGGTGGCAGGCACCTACTCACTGAGCCTCCTCACCAGCCTTTATATTCTTTTCTTTACCATTTCTCATGACTTTACCATTAGTATAAATAGTAGCAAGACTTGGCAGTGAAACCAGCTGTCTGGTTTAATAAGGAAAAACAAAACATTGCTCAGAGACTAATAGGAAAGTCACTGCTACAAAAACTATCTAGCAAAAACTACCAACTTTACCATCCGACACAGATGTACTAGTTACTGCTCACAAACTGGGTATGTTATGTAAAAAAACAAAAAGCCAAACAAAACAAAACAATCCTATGGAACCTTGAAGAAATAAAACAGCAAGTAACTAAAGAGTTTTCATTTAAGAAAAGGCTGGAAGACCATTTCTAGTTTGTTCCAGATTTGTAGTACTGAAGAAATGTTACACAGTTGCAGTGGAGATGAGCACCTTTAGCCGGTACAGGCTCTAGAGACTACTGCCATGGTACTAGACATGAAAATACTCAGTATTATTTACAGTTAACACATGCATTTTAAAGATACACAGCTGCACCACTGACACCAACATCCCTAAACCCATCAGTCCTGCTATTCACTAGGTCTTCCATGTTAAGAAGTACATACTCAACACGGAAGAGGAACAAAGAATTCTTACGATGGCACTAGCATTAATTTTCTTATCATCTCTGTTGCTATTTTTCAAATGAGATGTTTGATATTATACAAATACAGGCTACCAAACATAAAGGCACTAAAATATTGTTACATAATGCAGAGAATACTATATATTTTATTTCCGTACTTAACAGAAATAATATGCTCCTGTCCCCTAATGGGAATTTACAATTTGCAGTTCAGAAGCACATGAGCTCCATGATAGTTATGAATGTGGCCCAACACAAAAGTGTAAATTGTGTTTAAAAAATTGTGATTTTTTTTTCCATTTTAAAACCTCACTGCATGGTACTTGAGCATGAACTTTGCCAACGACAACCTTGTGTCATAATGTCAAAAGGATGGACTCACCTCCATGTAGTTCTCTCAGTTATCAAGACTACAATAAATAATGTAGAACTATTGTAATGAAGGAAATGGAGTTTAGACCCGAGATTTGAGTTAGACATCAGATTCTGGTATACCAAAGGATCAAGAATACTATTATATTTCCTGTATTGTAGATCAAGGTTTTGTGGGTTATATGGGAATAGTGATTAAAGAACACAGATTTGAAAGAAAATATACTTAACTTTCCAATAAACTTATTGCATGTGATAAGTATCTACTTAAGATGCAAAGTATGAGTGTAATAAAAAAAAAATCTCTTCACAGGAACGGTGACTATTTTAACAAATGTATAGTGGACTGAGGCTGTAGCTGAATGGTACCTGCTTGCTTAGCAAAAGTGCCTCCTCCCCAGTTGTATAAATTTCAAATTGGGCACAAAATAGTGAGTTTTAGGTGTGGTGACACACGTCTTCAATTCCTGCACTTGGGAGGCAGAAGCAGATGGATCTCTGGGAGTTTGAGGCCAACACTGTCTACATAGGTTAACATTCGAAGCTAGCCTGGGCTACGTAGTGAGACCCTGTCTTAAAAGAGCAAAACAACAGTAAAATGTAATGGTAAAATCAATATCCTAAGCGTTATGTCTTAGGACCCCAGGTTTAATCTGCAGCACCTTAAATAACAACAAACAACAACAGAAAGCCTTAACAAAAGTACAGTTTTACAACTTTCTGGAAAAGCAGCAGTCATATTTTAGAAATAACATCTCTGTAACTAAACAGTCTTTGCAATTAGAAGTTTTTATTATCTCAATTCTCTTTGCCTCATAATAATAAGCTTAAGTTTTTGAAATTCTCTGTGCAATAAATTTTCAGAGAAACTACAGCAAATACATTTACAATTTCGCTACATTAAAACTCAATTCCTAAAATTAAACTAGAAACATAAAGTTGGGGTTATATATTTATTTCCCACTTACGTCAAATTAAATTTAAAATTAAACTGCCAAGTTGAAGTTCCTGGAGGGTATTCTCCTTGCTCATTCATAAATGTCAGTCCTAGCTGAATTATCTTTAACAAGTCTACATTACATCGCAATAGTTGGTATTGGTAGTCAGCATTGCTCCTGAATTCTCCAATGGGCCTTGCAACAACACCTGGAAACTCGGTGTCCTGTAAAATAATTTTGAGATTCATTATTTACTAAATGGTCATAAACAGACTCCATAAACTCTCAGGATAATTTCTGAGGCAAGTCAAAGAATTCTATTACAATGATATTCTGTATGTTCACACTCAATTATTAGGTATTCTTTAAGTACAAAGAGTATTACTTTTTAGATCCCAAAATTTTATAAACTTAACTACTTTTTCTTAGTTTAAATTTGTCAATAAATTATTACCTTGTACAGATAACTCATGATAAACTCAAGCAAATATTTGCTTCATATCCAAGGAAAAGAAAACTTACACAAAGCATGTCAAGATTCCCACTCCCTCTTATAGGCTGTTATTATTTCTGTACTACATCTATTCCATATCATCTGAGAAATAATGAGAACTAGGAATTTCTGCTGCCTATAAAATAACCCTCCCTGCCCAAACAGAAAGTTTCAGTCCTAATTATGGAAAAGTACACCTTTATTACATAGGTAATGAATGTCTATGTATAGATATTCCTATTTTAAGCAAGCATCCTGTTCATTCTCAGAGAAGCACTTTTTTTTTTAAACTTGTGATACTAAGAAAATTAAATTATATTTTAGTTTGGCATGAGAATTCAAATTAAGGCCAGCTAAAACCAAAAATGACATAGAAAGTCAATATGAAACAGCAAAGAAATCAAAACTTCTTGAATTTAGTACTACAGCCAATTATTAGATTCAATAATCATGATACTAGACTTGGGTGGGGCTGGAAATATAAGTGTAAGACACTAAAGTACTGCTTTCTAGGGCTAATAATCGAGTGGATCTAGAACACAAAAAAGTAGCTGTAACAGATACAGAGTGCAGTAACAAGGCTGAAAGTAACTGCACTCTAAGCAGACCGAACACCACCTATAAGAACGGAGTTGTTTAACAACCTAGTGTGTTTCTGCAGCTTTAGCAATGTTTTCCTAAGAGATTTAATTGGGTTTTCCTTTGTTTGAAAAAGATACCCCAGAACTCACTGGCTTCTGAAACCTTATCTGGTACTAGTAGCACGGCCTTGGGCTTGCTTAGAACTAGCTGACATTCTTAAATGGGCTTTAGTGTTCTCCTGTTGAATGTAATCAGTTTCACAAAATTTCAACATCACACAAGTATACTCTGTAACTATTTCCCAACAAAGACAAAAAAAAAAAATTGTGTAAACCATAAAAATATTTAAGTTTCTCAAGCTAACTAATGCCCTCTGCAGCCTTGGTATCACCCTTGTCTTCTCTGCAGCTAAGACTCAGTAAGACTCAGTAAGAACCCACAGGAATACCAGCCTCCTGAGAGCATCCAATCCACACAAAGCCTGTCTCCTGTAAGCCCTTAAAACCACCTGACACAAGCCCAAACTCTAAAGTATTTCTAAAACTTTTATTCAGATGCTCTTGACTCCTAATCCCTTGTCAATTAATGCTAGCAGTAACAAACTCAAGCTATCAAATACAGGCTTGTTTCTGATGGGCTTTGCTGGAGGGACTAGGCAATTTTTTTCATGATTAAATTAATCCCTTGATATCAATGAAAAGGGTTTAATTCAAGATTTCTTAAATCCCACTTCAGGGCCTGGAGAAAGAGTTCGTTTGGTAAAATGCTTGGCGTACAAACAAGAGGACTGAGTTCAATCCCTAGAATCTGTTTTTAAAAGTGCATGGTCCACGTGCTTGTAATTTAAGTGCTTGGAAAGCAGAGGCAGGTGAATCCCTGGGGCTTCCTGGCCAGACAGCCTCGTTTAATCAGTAAGCCCCAGGCCAGTGAAATAACGTACACACACACCTCCAGGCCAGTGAAATCACACACACACACACACACACACACACACACACACACACACACACACACACACGTACAAAATTCCCACTTCACCCTCACAAAAGGCATTTGAAATCACACACACACACACACACACACACACACACACACACACACACACACGTACAAAATTCCCACTTCACCCTCACAAAAGGCATTTTAAAGATTTAGTCAGGTCCATACCATAGCAACATAATTATATTTTCGGATAACTTGACGAATTTTCTTCATCTCTTCGTCCAGGTTACAAGCCCAAACTTCACAAATTCTTTGGCTATGATCTACAGTGGCTGCTGGCATAGTGACAGCACAAGGAGTCTAGATGCCGAGCATCAAAATGTTACACTTGATTGAAGATTTGTTTCATAAAAATATTTTACCCTTTATTTGTGTACCTGTTGAAATAAAAACCACCTATATTATGAATGTGAATCATAAAATAGGGCTGGTATAAACTTAAGGTTACTTGTTCAAAGTTTATAATTCATAACAAAATCAAGTTTTAGAAAGCTACTTTGCTTAAGGTACACAGTTAATATATATAGATAATAAAGCACCACAACATCGATTTCCCAGTTGAATATAAATTTCACTGATTAAAATCTGCTCCCAGTTCAACACTCCACACAAAACTATGATCCATTTCAAGGTTTTTAAAAAAACAAACCGAAATTATTAAGATAAAATGTCCCCGTAACAAAAGTAGTGCTTGCTTTTATCCTAACAAAACACTTAAAATCTTACTTGATTAAAAAATTCTGCCGGGCGGTGGTGGCGCACGCCTTTAATCCCAGCACTCGGGAGGCAGAGCCAGGCGGATCTCTGTGAGTTCGAGGCCAGCCTGGTCTCCAAAGCGAGTTCCAGGAAAGGCGCAAAGCTACACAGAGAAACCCTGTCTCGAAAAACCAAAAAAAAAAAAAAAAAAAAAAAATTCTGCATTACTGGTGTTGGTATTCATTCAAACCAAATCAGAGGAAACATCAAAAACATTTAAAAGTTCTGAGAAAGCGTCAGGCAATCTCAGAAATCAATGTTCACACGGCAGGAGGCAGAAAGAAAGAAGGCAATAAAATATGGGCACCTATGGGCACCTAACATTTTCGAATTTCAAACAAACAACAACAACAAAGAAATCAGACCATTTCTCCTGGCTAGCAAAGCGGGACCTCAGGTTTCTGGTCCATAAACACAAGGTTTACGTTGTACAATGGTGAGGTATAATACAAACAGAAGACTTGATTCTTAGGCAAGAAAACACCAAATGTTAGACCCCAACAACAAAGACCCCAAACAAACAAACAAACAAAAACGAGTAAAAGAGGATGGCCTTGTGTCCTCAACTCGTAAATGGAAGCTGGAGTCATCTCAGCCACCCAAGGTGATCCTGGGCACGCCTTCTTTTTCTCCCTTCTCGCTGCTAACCCAGGCGCATGCACACCCTACGGAAACACTGCAATTGAACACTGCTTCCCTCCACCCCTCACTCTCTACTGCGGTCTCGGGGGTGGTGGTGGTGGTGGTGGGGGGGCCCTGAAGAGGCACCAAAGGCCTTCTCATTACTGAGGTCGCATGTCCTCCGTGGGCTGCCCGCGCAACGTGAAGAAAGCCCAGACGCGTTCATGTCAGGGCTAAGTCGCTTCGCTGGCACACGGCCAGGGGGAAGGTGCTGAGAGCATCCACCAGAGCCAGACTGGACTCGCAACCCCTGCGAGGACGAAGCGACGGAGTTCTCAAGTAGGCCACCGCCCTCCACTCTCAAATTTCCTCCCCCACAACGGAGTCCCAGGTACAAAGCGGTGGCGTCATCACTGCGCGCCGCACTCCTGACAGGCCACCCCCTCCCTCCCCCCCCCAGGCCCGTTACCGCTCCCCCCCCCCGCCCCCCTCCTTCCCTGTCGGCCAGCTCGGTCCGCCACAGCCGCGCTTCGGCGGGCGCCATCGCGCGCCCTCTCAGGTTCCCACTCCCGCCCCTTCCCCCCCCGGCCCCAGCTCGCCCGGGCCCCGCCGGATCTACTTGGGTCTCTGAGCTCGCGCCCCTCCTCTTCCTCCTCGCCATAGAGATAGCACCCGGCGGCGACGGCGGCGGCGGCGGTGGCGGTACCGACGGCGGCAGCGGGTGCCCCATAGACACCTCTCGCCCTGGAAAGGGGGGAAAGGGGAGCCGGAGCGGCGCTGCCCAGCGCGGCGCCGTCGCTCCTCGCACGTCCTGGGCGAGGGCGCGGCATGATGACGTCGGGCCCCGAGGGGGCGGGGCGCTCGGGAGGCGGGGCGGGCAGGTGACGGACGCCGGGCCCCGGGGAAGCTCCGGGCGAGCGGCGGGCCTCGCTCACTGACGGGCTGCGGTTGGACGCGAGCGGACCGGAGGGCCCCGTCCACTTAGGCGAGTTGGCCTTTTTTTTTTTTTTTTCCCCCCGGCCGCTCGCAGTTGGGAACTCGTCCCGCCGGAGCCAGGGACTCGCGAGCGCGGCGTGTAGGAAGGAGAAGGCGCGGCCCCCAGCGTGCGTGCCGCACGGCCGGCCGTGCTCGGTCGCCGGGGAAAGGCTAGGCTGAGCGAGGAGGAGCAGGCCTGAACCTTCTAGGGCCTCGGGCCGGGACCCGAGGAGGATGAGCTGGCTCTTTCCCCTGGCCAAGAGCGCGTCCTCCTCCGCCGCCGGGTCCCCCGCCGGCCTCACCAGTCTCCAGCAGCAGAAGCAGCGGCTGATCGAGTCGCTCCGGAACTCCCATGCCAGGTGACTGGTGGCTTTGACCCCGGGGGGGGGGGGGGGGGGGGGGGAGACACAAGTAGGGCGGGCGGGAGGGCTGCCTGCAAACACCGGTGCGGCGCCGCAGGCCGCTCCGCCAGCTGCCTCCTGTTGATAGTCCTGCCTGGGGGTTCCCCCGAGTGTGTCCCTCGTGCCCCCACCACGGCTCAGCTCGTCTCCTGACTTGCTCATCTCTAACTGACACAATGCAATCATCTCTCTTGATCTGTGTTTAGTGTGCCTCGCTCTCACGCTAATATTTCCTTTGATTCACCGAATTGTAGCATTGCTTTGGAATTGTTAACATGCTAACCCTTGGCTAGAGACAGTTGGGAAGGATAATCCCCAAGTTTCACAAAGTGAAAAAAAATCAAACTGTTGCAACACCAAAGGAAAGGGAAACCAGTGTTTTGATCAGTTAACTCTGTCGTGGTGGTGATAATCCTTTTGAGTTTGTAATTAAAACTCACCCTGTTCTAATAACCTCTGTCTTGGAACTGTTAAGAGTCTTGTTCACCTCTCATTTTCTTGACTTGGGCTCCACATTTAGTAATTGACATACATTGCCTGGATTAGTCGTTGTCTTTTGAGTTTGTCTATTTTATGGTAGTCAGACTAGAAATACAGGAATTCGGGTTATTTCGACTTTTTTTTTTTTCCTGTAAAATCGTTCGCTGCAGCCTTTTCTGTTAGATATTTGTCCATGGCCGCTAAGGGTTTTCAAATATCAGAATTACCTTATGATATATGAGTTTTACAATTAACAGGTCCACAGCTTATTTTATGTATAGAGGCCCACGTGGTTAATTAAACTCTAGCCTTTCAAAAACCTTGTCACATTATACACATTGTAATATGTAATATGATTTTTAATGCGTTATATAATATATAGATACACATCCATGAGATAATAACATTGAGTTATTGAACACACCATCAGGGGTTATTTTTATGTTTACACATCAGTTTTTTTTTTTCCCAAGCAAGTAAATTATAATCTCCAGTCATTTTAAACTTCCTCTGTAGACCAGGCTGTCCTTGAACTCAGATCTGCCTGCCTTAGCTTCCCAAGTGCTGGGATTAAAGGTGTGTGCCACCATACAGAGTGCCTTTCTTCCTGTTCTCATCTCTATCTCTGTGTAGCATTCCTTCTACCCTGTTACAAGGACAGAACTCTCTAGGGAGAGTATTTTCTAAGAAAGGAGTGGCCTTTCCAGTTAGGGTTTCTTTTATCATCCTTGGGGAAAAGGAAATTTTGTTTCTGTGACTACTTTGAGAGGAAAAGATGGGATAAGAGGTAAGAAAACAGAAGGAGACTGCCTCTGGAAGCCTTCAAGTCTTCCTTAGTTCAAGGTACTCAGCACGCTCAAGTGTCAATTTCTGACATTTCAGTCTTTCTCTGAATGTTTTGTTTTTGTTAACCTTCAAGAGCTACACTTTCAAGGTATTATAAAATAAGCTGACTACCTTTTAAGAAACATGACAAGGGTTTTCCCCATAGAATGCCACCTTGGAAAACTGTAGAATGTTAGTGCTACTATTGCAGAAATACTGGTGGAATCATTTGTTAGCCTTTATTCTTTCCTGTTCATAAGGCTGGTGATTTTTGGTGGTTGGAAGTTGAGGTAGAGCTTTTGAGACACTAGAACTCTTATTGCTAAGGCTAGTAAATGAGGAAAGTGATCTGAAGTTTGTACTTTGGTCCCAAATAGAAGTAATAAAACAGTAATTGTTCATTGAAGGAGTTCTGGAGTTGGTTTAAGAGGATCAGTCAGTATCCTGAAATGCATGCACAAATTATTTTGTGCACTAATCTTTGAACTAGAAAATTTGGACATAGGACATTATCTACACATCTTTTAAGTTCTTGAGATTCTTATTTAATTGAAATATTTCAAACTTGCAAATTAGATATGAATAATTCTAAACAAGATTTAAGAATCTTGTAAACACTTTAACAAATTCTTAACTTCTCTAAAATGTTAGGTGAATTTTATGGCTATTTTCTGTTATCAGTGTTGCCTGGCAGGAACAAGTGTGGAACTGTCATAGAAGACAAAGTGTCTAACCAAAGCACAGTGAATGTTATGAAAATGAAAAGTGGAAGTTATGTAGAACTAATCTTCTAAATAGCAGTAATCACACTATTCAGTCTACCACTAAAACTTAGAAGTTCATATGTAGGAAAACAAATTCTTCAGAAGTTTACTTCAGAAGACACTTGCTTTCCTGTCCAGGTCTATGTCCTCTGAATTCTTTAAAGAACACCTGTTTTTGTTCTGTTTTATAATCCGTAGGACACAGACTTAGTAGAGGTGATTTCAACCCAGGAGATGTAAATCAGTGATGATGGCCTCAACTCACACCCTCACCTCTTTGTCAGGAGGAAGACTCCTCCTCCTCCTCCTCTTCATCTCTTCTTTTCCTTTTTTTTGAACTCACAGGAGCCATCTGCTTCTGCTTCCACAGTGCTGGATTAAGGCTTAAGGTGCACATCACCGTGCCAGAAGTAGGCCTCTTGACTTCCATCTTGGTAAATAGAAGTTGGAGGGAAAGTCCAGGTTTTCTCAATAATATAAAGAGCTGTCTGGGAAGAAAAACAAAGGGGAGGGAAAAGCGCTTCTTGTGTTTTAGATATTATTGTGTTCATTTGGGTCATGATTGACGGCTGACAGTGGGGTACAACAGAAGGACATTTTCCTGCCTGCTAAATTAATGAACTCTGGAGTGAGGCTCCTTTCCTCTGTGATACTTAGTGTTTAAGTCTTAAGCGTTAAGATGAATGGTTCCTCACTCGTGAAGTGACTTTCCCCTGCTTTTCAGTAACTTATGTTTGTGATTATTCTCACTAACCCAGCTAATGCTTAGTTTCCAGAAGTGAGGCTGTTTAATAGAATTTCTCTGTGCTGCACCCCAGTTAGAAAATACTACAGATGGATAACAGTGACTGTTCTAACCAGATCTCTCTTTTCTTAGTAACTAATGTTAGTTAACCTCTTTATTAATTTCTTTATCTCTGAAACAACCTAGAGCTCTGTTTCGAGTGGTAATTATTATTTACAATTAACTATGTAAATCCAAAGTTATACAAGTAATAAGCCATCTTTATTACCTTTACCTGGATCTCCCAGGTAAAAGGCTTCTGAATTCATTTTAATAATAATTATATAGTAATGGAGTGATGTTTTATTTGCATATTCAACAAGAGTCTTAAGTTGGTTGTGATGACATACATCAGAATTGTGTGTTTCTTTTGTATTGTTGTACAGCTAATAGACTCCCTACAAAAGAATCTTTGAGCTAAGAAGTTAGGAGATACAGATAGGTCATTAACTGCCCATACAAGCTTGGGTGACCTGTCATCTTTATATGCCTTATGGCCATGCAACTGAAAGAATTGACTGCCTGATCTCTTTCTGCTCCGCTCAACCAAGAAAGTCAGTTGATTTCCAGCTCCTCAGTGTAATGACATTCTTAAAGGCAGAATACAGTGAATATAAGCATTGTAGACCTGTATGAGGAGCACAAAGGAATAGAAGCTTTGTAATGAAACTGTCCTGGATTCCAGTTCTGGTTCTAATACATGCTAGCTGCACAATCTCTTGATAAAACTTTCAGTTCTTCCAATTTCCCATTTTCTGCCTGTAAAGCTAAGAATTATGATTCTTATGTGAAATCTGGGAGATGGGCAGGTGCTGGAGAGATTTAGGAGATGGAAGCCAGAGCCTTGAGCATGGGAAGCAAGTGCTCTACCACTGAGTTACATCCCTAGCTCTCTCTCTCATGGGTGTTTTGATATTTGAATAATAGAAACATTAACTGGCTCATAGTAGGCATATAACAAAGTACACTCCTTTTTGTACTCTCTCAGTATGCCTAAAACCATTGCTTCTTAATCTAGAGCAGTGGTTCTCAAGCTTCCTAATGCTGCAACTCTTTAATACAGTTCTTCATGTTGTGGTGTCCCCCAACTGTAAAATTTTTTTCATTGCTACTTCATAACTAATTTTGCTACTGTGATGAATTGTATTTTGGGGAAAGAGAGGTTTGCCAAAGGGGTCGTGACCCAGAAGTTGATAACTGCTGATCTCAATGCTTCTGTCCAACTTAATGTTTATCCATCTTTCACAACCCTACCTGTAACTCACTTGTCTTTGGCAGGCCTCCATTTGACTGTCCGTGTAGAAAACAAGTCTGTTCAGGAGAGTTAGCTAACTCACAAGTGAAGTGTCCTATTTAGAAGGGTTTAGTAAAGTCCAGGGATGCTACAGAATCTGCAGTATTGTTTAACAAACAGTAAATATTCTGTAAATGGCCATTGATATTTTATTCTTGCTCTTAAAAATAATAGTGTCTGTGTAGGTCAGCCTTTCATCACTGAGAAAGCACCTGAGATAAACAGACCTATAAAGAGGAAAGGTGTGTAGGAGGTAGCTCAGTTGATAATGGACTTGAGTTCAATCCCTGGGACTCCTATAAAAAGGCTGGGCACAGTGATTCCTACATATAATCCCAGTGTTAGGGATGTGAGGTCAGGAGGATCCCTGTGCTTCACTGGCTAGTCAGCTTAGCCTCTTCAGGAAGCTCTTTGGAGAGAGGCCCTGTCTCAGAAAACAAGGTATACTGCTATCCTGAGGAACAATATCAGAGGTTCACTTTCATATACAGGTACATACTGTGTACCCAAACACCACAAAAAGAGGAAAGACTGATTTGATTTCACAAATTCAGAGGCTTAAGCAGTGGTTGGCACTCTTGCTGAGCTTTTCAGCCTATGGCTAGGCAATACATCATGGTAGTAGTGCATGGCAGAGGAAATTACTTCTGCTATGACAGCTAGGCGGCAGAGAGAGATGAGAGAGCCCAAATATCTCCTTCAAGTGCATGCTTGGTTACCCAGCTTCCTTCTGTTAGGCCCTCCTCCTAAAGGTTCTCTTACCTCCCAAGTAGTACCACAAGCTATGATCCAAGCTTTCAGCTCATGGACC